CACGCCGGGTGCGCCAGACTGTGCCTACCGAGGCCGGGCCGGCGCGCTTCGGCTGACCAAGGGAGGGCGCTCAGTTCGCGCCCACCCAACCCGGCCTCAGGGGAGACGACTGCCGGTTCCGCCCCCCGACCGACTCCTGCACCTGACAGCGAGAGCCCGCCTGGACCCTCTCATCTTCGGCAACCGACGCGCGTCTAAACCGCTCGGCTTAGCTCTGAGAGCAGCGGCCCCGGGGCTCGGACTTTGAACCGGTTTGAGGAGGGGGCCCCGGGACCTGTGAAACGGGCACACCAAGGATGGAGCGGGGAGGCTCCGGGAGGCCCGGTAGCCCTCCACGCGCAGCCAGCGGGCAAACAGCATGCGGACAGCGTGCAGATCGCGGACACCGTCCTCGCTAGTGTCCCGCGGGTCCCGCCCCTTCTGGCCCCGCCCCGAGGCGGTGATACCATCGCCCCGCCCCCCCCGGGAGCACTTCCGGCTCAGCGGAACGCGGGGTGCGGGCTGAGGTTGCCCACGGACCTGCCCGGTAAAGGTGTTGCACAAGGCCCCATGAGCGCTGGACCCCTAGTGGGCTACAGCAGCAGCGGCTCCGAAGATGAGGACGAGGCTGAGGCTGAGATCGAGGCCGCGACCCAGGGGCGGACCTGGCCCGGGGCTGGGGGCTGTCGTCGGTGAGGATCGAGGAAGTCTCTTTCGCCGGGGCGCGGATTTGTTTGAGAACCCCGCCAGACCCGAGCGTCTGTCGACTGGGGAGGGGAGGCGGTTCCCGGGGAAGGAAAAGCGGGAAAGGAGGATCCAAAGGGCACCCCTGGACAAAGCCCCAGAGTGCCCCCACCAGGCTCGGGCAAGGTTAGGAGGCAGGACGCCAGCTCGGGTCCAACCTGGGCGCTGGCAAGTTCTGTGTTCTGTAAGGTAGCACACCGTCCCGGGTCTGTTTCTTCATTTGAACACAATTGCAGTGATAATACTTGCTTAAGCTTATGGAGACCCTGGTGCGGTGGCACATGTCAGAGACCCGGGGAGGCTGAGACAAAAAGATCACAATTTTGAGGCTGGCCTCCTGCAACAGTCTCTGTCTAAAAATAAAATTAAGAGGGGATAGCTGGGAAGGCAGCTTTATGGTAAAGTGCCCTAGGATCTCCAGAACCACATGCACTGCCTTCCCCCAAACACAGCATATGGAGAGCCTTTTAATTCATCCAACAAATACTCTTTGAGCACCTAGTCTGAGCCAAACTGAAGACTGGGAACTTAAGTGGACAAAAGCCATGAAAGTCTATTTTTTTTTTTTTTTGTGGGCTCTAGGTTCTTAAGTAACTATCTTTGCTGAGTGCTTTACAAGCAGTATCACTGTTGATGGCCTAGTAGTTTTGTCAGGTAGAAATACAGTTAACACATGAGGAAACATGTATCTCAGAAAGGGTACATCACTTGCCCAAGATCACAGAGTTAGAAAATGCTGCTCCATCTCAGGCCTGTCCAACCAAGGATGTAATACCTAAACCACACCTTGCTGCCTGCCCGAGTGTTTCTCATGGGGACCATGCTTTATTCTAAGGTCTGCTTCTCAGACTTGTTGAGAGACTCCAGCGCAAATACGTGGGAGAAAGCTTTGTGACTTTCTAGAAGCTACCTCATGTACTTGCCTGGAAAACCACACTCAGGATCATATTTATAAGGGGTTACAGCTTTTGTTGGGTGTATAAAAGCAAGAGAATGCTAAAAAGATAAATGTGCTTGTTTTCTTTTTTCTTCTGCAGTGGCCAGAGTCCTGATCCTAGCCAGAGGTTTCCAGTGCCCGACAGTGTACTGAACATGTTCCCCAGCACAGAGGAGAGGCCTGAGGATGACAGTGCAAAACATGGGGGACGTGTGCGCACCTTTCCTCATGAGCGAGGCAACTGGGCCACCCATGTGTACCTACCATGTGAGTCATGTGTGACAGGCAAACAGTTGAGACCAATAGGTGCCTCTTGATGTATTTAGCCACAACTAAGAGGAAGAAACCAGAACCCTGTCTGTGCCTCCCCAGCCCTGATAAGTGGATAGCAGGCAAAAAAATGCCCAGAGTCAGACTTCATCCATTATCTACTGCTCTGGGTATCCTTTGGACTTCTCAGATCTCAGTTTTCTCACCTCCAAAAAGGAGATAATAGTAATACCTATCTTTGGAAGATGAACTAGATAATTTCTGCCAGGTTCCTCGTACAATTCACAAAGTAGGTGGTGGCTCTTATTATTTTGTGTAGCCTTCTCCCATTACCACCAACATCCCCCACCAAGAATGGTGCACTTGTCACAGTTGATGAGCCTACATTGGTACATCACCATCACCCAGACTCCAAAGTTGGTATTAGGGTTCACTCTTGGTGTTGTACCTTCTGTGGGGAGACTTGTGCTACCATTATAGAATCATATAGTTCACTGCCCTAAGAATCCTCTCCTCCTCTTATCCATCCCTCCCCTACTTCCTCACCTCTGTGAACCAGTGATCTTTCAACCATCTCCATAGTTTACCCTTTCCAGAATGCCATGGAGTCAGAATCATTCAGTAGGTAGCCTTTTCAGATTGTCTTCTTTCACCTAGTAATACATATTAAGGGCTCCTCCATGTATGTCATGGCTTGACAGTTCACTTTTTTTTTTTTTTTTTTAGTACTAAATAACATTCCATTGTCTGGATGTATCATAATTTATTTATCCATTCACCTACTAAAGATGGATACTTGTGATTGCATCCAAGTTTCGACTGTTATGAATAAAATATAGACATCTGTGTATAGTCTTTCATGTAGATGTAAGTTTTCAACCTCTTTGGGTAAACACCAAGGAGGGCAGTTGCTGGATTGTGTGGTAACGATTATGTTTAGTTGTGTAAGAAATCACCAAAATGTCCTAGGCAGTGGTTGTGCCATTTTACATTCCCAACAGTAATGAATCAGAATTCCTGATACTCCATGTCCTTGTCAGCATTTGGTATTGTCAGCCATTTTAACAGGTATATTGTTGCATTTCCTTGGTGACATATGATGTGGGACATCTTTTCAGGTGCTTTTTGCTCTCTGTATAGCTTCTTTGGTGAGGTGTGAATCAGATTTCTGTCCTACTTTATAATCAAATTGTTTATCTTCTTACGTTTCATTTTAAGAGTTTCTTCTATATTTTTCTATTTTTAATCAGACATATCTTTTGCAAATGTATTTTCTCCTAGTCTATAGCTTTCATTCTCTTAATATCTTTTACAAAGCAGAAGTTCTTAAATTTAATGAAGTCTACTTTTTTTTAAATAACTTTATTTTATTATATTTTCATATGGTGCTGAGAATTGAACCAAGTGCCTCAAACATGCAAGACAAGCACTGTACCATTGAGCCTCAACCCTAGCCCATAATGAAGTCTATCTTATCAATTTTAATAACTAATAAACAATATAGCAATATAAACCTTTGGGAGACCCATATTCAAACTATACCTACCAGTTCTATCAATTTCCTGTTTTCAATTTCATCAATTTCTGCTGATTTGTATTATTTCTTTTCTTCCGCTTACTTGGAATAGAATTCGCTCTTTTCTGGATTTTTTTTTTATTTTTTATTTTTAGGTGGACACTTTTTTTTTTTTTAAATTTTTATGTGGTGCTGAGAATCGAACCCAGTGCCTCACGCTGAGCCACAGCCCTAGCCCCTTTTTCTAGATTCTTAAAGAGGAAGTATAGAGGATCGATTTTAGATCTTCTAATATGTGCTTTTAGTTATATAAGTATTCTTCCAAGCACCTCTTTTGCTGCATCCTACAAGTTCTGATAAGTTGTGTTTTCATTTTCATTTACTTAAAAATACTTGTAGGTGGTACCTGCCTATAATCCCAGCAACTGGTGGTAGACCTAGGCAAGAGGATTGCAAGTTCGAGGCCAGCCTCAGCAACTTAGGGAGACTCTGTCTCAAAAAAACAAAATCTGCAAATTTCTCCTGAGATTTCTTCTTTGACACAGATGTTATTTAAAAGTGTGTTGTTTAATCTCTAAGTATCTGGGAATTTTCCAGTTCTCTTTCTGTTATCAATTTCTAGTTTAATTCCATTGTGGCCCAAAGTCAGACAATGTTTGATTTCTAATCTTTTAAATTTAAGGGGTTCTGATACCTACTCTCTCTTTAAACTGTATTTTTTGCCTTTTATTATGTTTTATCATTTTTTCTTCATAGCTGAATATGATGTATTGCATAACAGGGACATGGTAAACAGGCCTTCAGTAACATGGTGAGGTGTGAAGGGGAAGCATTCTGCAGCCCTGTGATCAGGTCCCAGTCATTTAAATGAGCCTGTGCCTCTGGACTGTGGACAGCAAGGCGAGAGCCAGTTTAAAGTTATTTCCCTTCCCCCAGGTCAGTAGGGCTCCTATTAAAACACCTGCAGGTCAGGCTCTGGTTAAACCTAAGGGCAGACCTTTTAAGAAAAACAGAATTTCTAAATGATTTCTTTCTATCCCCTTGTGCCAGAAGAAGCACAAGATGATTTTTCTCCAAAATTCTGTGAGAACCTGGTAGAGTTCCAGATCCTAACCCTCAGAAAGCAATGTGCATATATGTATGTCCCACAACCCACATCTTCTTAGCGTTTTTAACTTTCAGATTTGTGTACCCTGAGTCTCCAGCAATTTGTCTATTACAATTTAGGCCTCCCTGCGCTAGCCCTTGTTCTCACACAGGTTTCAGCTCATGTACGTCTGGTCAATAATTTGTGAGCCTCTGTATTCAGCTGTGTGTCACTCACTTCTCTTATAGATCTAAGAAGAGCTGTTGTTTTCTTAGTTTGCTGAACATTTTACTTGTTAGCATGAAGTGAAAATTTCCAAACTTTTTTTTTTTTTTTTTGGTACTGAGGATTGAACTCAGGGACACTTAACCACTGAGGCACATCCTGAGCCCTTTTTTGTATTTTATTTAGACACAGGGTCTCGCTAAGTTTCTTAGGTCATCACTAAGTTGTAAAGGCTGGCTTTGAACTCACGATCCTCCTGCCTCAGACTCCTTAGCCGCTGAGATTACAGGAGTACAGCACTGCACCCGGCAACTTCCATGTTTTTTAATGCTGGACTATAAACCGAAGTCTCCTCCCTGTGTGTATCTTGTTTACCTGAATTCTTTTCAGTGAGCACATATTACTTCTTTAACCAGAAATGCATGTTAAATTTTAATAAGCTTTATAGACACAGACTCAAACCCAGAGTGATATGGGCTTCTGTCTGCCTTCTGGGCTTTTTCACTCAGCCTTGAACCTTGGCTAAGACAACAGCCCACCCGCTCCACTCTTCCTTCCAGATGAAGCCAGGGAGGAGTTCCTGGAGCTGCTTGATCTGTTGCTACCCCACGCCCAGACTTACGTGCCCCGGCTGGTGAGGATGGAGGCCTTCCACCTCAGCCTGTCTCAGAGCGTGGTTCTGCGTCACCACTGGATCCTCCCCTTCGTGCAGGCTCTGAAAGACCGCATGGCCTCTTTCCAGAGGTGAGCGCTTCCCTGGGCCTCTGGCTGTTCTCTCCAAGGCTTCTCCCCCTTTCCTGAGCTACTGCAGGTTGGAGGTATGGGATTCATTATCCCAGCAAAAGGAATAGAACACAGGAACATTGCAACATCTCCTGGGGCCACCTGCGGTACATCTCATCCCATGTGACCTTGGGCACATTATAAATTCTTGATACTTCTAGTTTCTAACATGCCATATAGGAAAATCTTCACTCTCTTTCTCTACACTCTCACTCAACATTTCTAACACAACTGTAGCCACATGATATCCTGAAATTTTAGTTCAGTTCTGATGGTAATGACCCAAAGTTAGTGCACACATCACAGGTTAGGGGCTCAGTCCCACGAGACTGCCCCCCACTTCAGATGCTAGCTTCTCATGTTGGATCCCCATGTTACCACAACTCTTTTTCAATTTTGCTATAATTCAGAGGTTTCTGTGACTCCCTCCTCAGGCTTGATCATTAGCTAAAATAGCTCACAGAACTCAAAACAGTTCATTTAATAGATTATCAATTTGGATCCTTTAAAGGATATTTTAGGGGATCCAAATGAACAGGCAGATGAAGACACACATAGGGTGAGGTCTGAAGTGTGCCAGGCTCAGGAGCTGGTCTCCGTGAAGTTAGGGAGTGTGTCACCTTCCCAGTGCACCATGCATTCTTCACCAGAAGGAACTCTTCAAACCTGTGCGTTAGGGATTCTTCTGGAGGTTTCAATATGAAGGCATTATTAACTCTAGCTCCTCTCCCCTCCGCAAAGGATGGGGGTATAGGGCTGAAAGTCCAGGCTTCTAATCATGGCTTGCTCTTTCCAGGTGACTGTCCCTCTTATAGGAGTCCAGCAAGAGTTGCGGAAAGTTCCAAAGGATTTAGGAATGCTGTGTAAGGAACCTGTCAAACACTAAATAATAGAACGAAAGATGGTCTCAGCATCCTTACTGTTTAGGAACTTATATGGGTTTAGGAGCTCTGGGTCAAGAACGGAAGCAGTGACCAATATAAATTTCTTAATTTCTCATATCTGCATACAGGGCATGGCAAGATGTCTGCCTCAGAGGCGCTTATGGTGAATGAAATTCTGCCTGCCCCTCAGCGTGGCACTTGGTAAAGGGCCAGAACTGAACCCTATTTCTGGTTTTGTCTACGCGCTTACGACATTTTCCCCCTTAACTAGTTCATGCCATTCTCCTACAGACATGCTTTTCCTGCTAGACTTCAGCACATCAGAACCCTGCTCTTGCCAGGCATGGTGGCACATGCCTATGATACCAATGATTTGGGAGGCTGAGCCAGGAGGATCACAAGTTCAAGGCCAGTCTTGGCAATTTAGCAGGGCCCTAAGCAGCTTAGCCACACCCTGTTTCAAGAAATAAAACAGGGTGGGGATATAGTCAGTGGTAAAGTGCCCCTGGGTTCAATTCCCAGTACAAAAAAAAAAATTAAAAAAAGGACCCTCCTGCTCTTTCTACCAGATGGCATGTGCCCCAGAACCCCTCAGTCCTCGGGATCATCAGTCTTGGCATTATTTACAGCCTATAGCTCATTACTCCTCACCTCCACTCATTCCCATGTCCCTCTTCCCTTCTGGAGCCCAGGTTCCCCCCAGCAGGATAATAGCTTCTCTCTGAATAACCCACAGCCTTCTCCAGGTGCTCTGGTTAATCATGCCATTAAATAGATTCTTGCTGAGTGCTTGGACATTCAGGAGGGAACGGAGCCTGGAGGACACCTCTCTTAGAGTTCGGTGGGTCCACTGAAGGCTGGGACTGGAAAGAGCCTAAGAAGCGGTGGTGGTTTTGTGACTCTGCTTTTATCTGCAGAGCTTTTTTTCAAATGAGGTGTTCCACAGACACCCACTGTGTAGATGTGTGAGACAGGTAGAAATAGAAGTCTCTGGGCTGGGGGTGTAGCCCAGTGGTACAGTGCATGTGTAGCTTGCACAAGGCCCTGAGTGGGAACTCCAGCACTGAGAGAAAAAGAAATAGAATTCTGTCTCCTAGCCAAGGCCCATACCCACAGCTGAAGAAGCCCTAGGCCCAGAAATTCTAGTGAAGGGCTTCGCCCAACTAATGGGTTCGACCTAACTAGTTGAACCCTTTCTGAGGGCTAGAGGGGAAGATTTACTCCAGGCCAGTCAGTCATCTAGAGGATCAAGACTGAAGCTCATCTGTTCTCCAAGCCTAGGCCACCTCCTTTCAAATTTGCTGAACTTTATGTATACTTTCAGGACTGTTTTGGTCACAGATATCAGAAACTCAACCCAAAGTGGCTTAACACAAAAGGGGATTTATAGGCTGGTATAGCTACAAAGTTCAGAGGAAGCGCTAGCTTCGTGATGAGAGAGTGGAGGTCACCAGAAGATGGCACCTGGCTCTTACTGTCTCAGCTCTGTGCACCTGAGGGACACTAGCATCTCCAGGCTGACCTGCCTAGGAAGATAGCCCTCTTTTTTTTTTTTTTAATATTTTAGTTATACGTGGATACAATATCTTTATTTATTTTATGTGGTGCTAAGGATTGAACCCAGTGCCTCATGCATGCTAGGCAAGTGCTCTACCTCTGAGCTACAAACCCAACCCATAGTGCTCTTCTTTACTTTTTTGTTTTTGTTTTTGTTTTTATTTTTGTCAGGAACAGAACTGAGGGCTTCAGGCATGCTAGGCAAGCCTTTGCCACTGAGCCATCCTCCTGCCCCCAAAAGCCCATTTTTCAAATAACTTCAGCAAAAGTCACAAAAGACTTGGATTGGTTTGGCTTGGTGTTCATGCTCTCCCTTTTGTGAGTGAAGAGTTAAAAAGCCCTTTCTCCTTCTACTTAAGAAGCTTTCTCTGCTAGAACACTGTTCCCTGACCAAGGGCAGCTTGTCGATAAGTTCTAGGTCTGGGAACAGCAGAGTTGCCCAGGGTGCAAGACAAAGGAAACGAGGCCCTGGTGGGAAGTCACAGTTCTGGGCCTCCATGAACCCACTTGTTCTTTGATAGGCAGGTGCCCATCTGGAAAATTCACCCAAGAGTTATTTCTAGAGTACCCGAGGGGTACCCAAGGAGTACATAGGTGGCTTTTTCCCTTGTTTACTTGGGAAACAGCTCCAGAGAACTGCCCCTGGCTTGCTGGATTGGTTCCCTCTGAGGAAATGCATCTGATGTGCCCGAGGCTCAGTGTTTCTTGCTCTGTGTCCTGAGTGGGGCTCAGCCAGCCATGGCCTCTTTGAGCTTGATTGTCAGGTTGAGTCCAAGATGACTGAGAACAAGCAGTGCACCCCGGATTCTGTTGCTGCCACTGAGGGCACTCTGCTCTGACAGGCCAGGCCTAGGTCAGTGCCTGCAGCTGAAGGGGCGGTGGCTGGACACAACATCCAGTGTCGACGGCAGAACACTTATCCAACACCTTCCAGAACTCTTTCCAAAATCTGTGCTTTCCCAAGAACTAGTGGTTCTGTTATCCCTTACATTTTCCCCAAAAGGGATGCTGAGCGAGGAGGCAGGGTGCTGGCTGGCTGACTTCATGCACGTGCACAGGTTGTAAGGCTCTGTCCAGCCAGCAGATAGTCCATTCCTTCCACTGGGATGAATCCTTTGGCCTGGAGGCTGTGAAATTATCTTTTCCTATGATGAGACTTGCCAAGATGGTCCAGGAGGGGCAAGAAGCCAGTCTGTCACTTTGCAATCACCAGTATCTTTAGGACACAGCCAGCACCTAACTGACTGAACCTGACTGGTCCCCGTGTCACTCATCTGAGGGGTCAGTGGGGGCCTGTTTCTGCCTCCTTTCACACCATTGGAGACCCACTATTCCTAGAGCCTCATAGGAGAGAGCACGGGCTTTGCAGGCAGACTGAGGTTCCTGCCTCGAAAGCTTCAGTTTCCGTCTGTAAAATGGGCATAGTTATAGTGCCTGCCTCAAAGGCTCATGTGAGGATCTCATGAGCTGATAAGCCCCAAACCCAAAGCTCAGCCCTTGCACATGGGAAGTGTTCTTGTTATTGCTTAGACTAAATCAGTGTTGTCCTTGTTTTAACCTGCAAGGCACAATTTAGCCCTCATATGATTTGTTATCACCCACTGATAACAAATTAAGTGATTAAGACTTTCTCAGTTCCCATCAGTAAAGTTGAGATAGTCTCAAATTGTTTGGAATGAACTGCTCTTATCAAAATAAAATTTTTTTGCTAGCATCTGAATGATACTACATATACTTGGACAGGGTGATTTTAAGGTCTTGCTAGCTCTAATTAGGGTTCAGTTTACCATTTATATAATGAGGTGACAATATTAAGTATAAAGTTCTATTTCTCAAGTGCTATTTATCAAACTATTTTTCTGTTTGTTTTTTCTTATTCTTCCTGAAATATGATCTTTTTTCTTCTAAATTTCAGATTCTTCTTTACGGCCAACCGTGTAAAGATTTATACCAATCAAGAGAAGACCAGGTATGTCCCCCTGATCCCAAGTCACTACCAGAAGAAGAGTCTTTGGTGGAGTGCTTTTTGTTAAATTTTTAACCAAGTCTGCCAGATTATAGGGAAGCTGTTCCCAAATCTGAATTTTCATTTAAGAAAAAGAACTGGGAGGCCAGGCATGGTGGCACATGCCTATAATGCCAGACATTCAGGAGGCTGAGGCAGGAGGATCAAAGTTCAAAGCCAGCCTGGGCAATTTAGTGAGACCCTGTCTCAAAAAGTAAAAAGGGCTGGGATGTAGCTCTGTGATAGATCGCTTGCCTGACCTGTGAGGCCCCAGGTTCAATCCGCAGTGACACAAAAATGAAAGACAAATAACTGGGGGAACATCGGGAGGGGTCCCAGAGGTGGAGCAGATGGGGCCCTTCTCGGTATAGGGAAGAAAGCTGTGAAGGTAGAAAACCTGCTCCTGCCCATCTGCATCCCTAGTTTTAACCTTTATCTCACACATTCTGCTCTCTGACCTTTGTGTGCTACACCAGCATCCCCACAGTGACACCGTCACACACCTCCCCTTGATTCATCCATTGCTGGGCAGTTGTGAGGCTCAAAAGAGGCCAGTGGATTTTAAAAGCATTAAATGAATATAAGAAGAAATTATCATTACCAAGTCTCAGAGCGAGCCCCAGTGTCCCCTCCACTCACTGAGCCACCCTCTCTCGGCACCTCTGAAAGGGCTCACTCCTTCCTTCATTCTGTGCTCTACAAATTTATTAAGCTACTGGGTTTCCAGGAGGGAGGAATTGGCAGCGTCACATACCACTGAACAAGTAAGTGAGGACAGAGGAGTATCCTTGACTTTAGTGACACGGAGGTCATCAGCAATCAGCAACTGGCAGGCACTCCTGCCAAAGGTTTGGAGACAGGAGGCAAGGAAGAAGGGGACAGGAAAGCTGGACCAAACACCTTTTTAAGAAGTTTTCCTGAGAACAGGATGGGGGCTGGCTGAAGGTGGGGTCAGGAAGGGCTTTAACCAGACTACGTGGTTCTGCTCTCGTGGTTCTGCGCGGGAGAGCCGCCTGAGCACTGTGGGAAGAGGCGGACCCAGGGGGCAGAGTGCAGAGCAGTAGCAGCAGGAGCCATGTGGGTTGGACCTGGGGAAAGAAGGCTTAGAGACAGAGGAGGAGAGAGGAGAGGCTTATGGAGCAGCCCTGGAAGCTCAGGAGGGAGGTGGAGTGAGCCTATGGCCAGGCTTCCTGCCTGGTGCGTACCGCTCCTCCTTGGGTGGTCTGTGCCCTCAGAGGCTGTATCTCATGCCCATGTTTCCTTTGCCTCTGCCTCTCCCTAGGACCTTTGTTGGGCTTGAGGTCACTTCAGGGCATGCCGAGTGCCTGGACCTGGTTTCAGAGGTTGACAGAGTCATGGAGGAATTCGACCTCACCACTTTCTATCCGGTAATGAACAGGGTTGGAGATAATGAATGGAGATACTTATTGTCTCTTCAACGGGCTGCTGCTTCTCCACTGGCCCGTCTCTAACTGGAATAAAGCCATCCTTAAAGAAGCCTTCATCAGAGGCAAATTAAAGAGCCCTCCAGACTTTGCTGTGTGGAGTGTCCCAGATGCCAGCCCACAGAGGACACATGCCACTGGGAGGTGAGGGGTCTGAGGTACAGCTAGATGCAGCCCATCCAAAGTCTAACGTTTTTTAAAACTCCATATTTTAAATATGGTCCAGTATGTCTCCTACTGCACAATGTCTCCATGTTTGTTTTATATTTCTTAAGAAGTATCTCCTATAATTTTTAGCAAAATAGACCCTCTGAGAAGAGTTGTAGCTTTGCATACTTTACTGCACCTGCCACATGCTCTCCGGGGGTACTGAAGAGTCCAGGTGGAATGTCAAGGCTTTAAAGGGCCCATTGATTTTATTTGATATATTTTTTTAAAACCATGCTGAAATATTTAACAATGAACTTGAATGGAAATAAGTATTATTTCTTTAAAATTTTAGACGTTTTGAATTTTGTTCATTTCATCTGAAAAGTATGGCATCTGTTAGGATGTTCTCGATCGGAAAACAGAGTCAGATCCTGGTTTCTCTTCCATATCCCCAGATTTAATGACTCTCTGTATGATATTTATAGGAAAGCCTCTCAGAACGGATTGTCTTAGTTAGCTCAAGCTGCCATAATAAAATACCATAAACTGGGTGTCTAAAACAACAGAAATTTGTTTCCTCACTTTCTAGAGGCTAGTTATCCAAGATCCAGGTGCTGGCTGGGTTGGTTGTGGTAAGGACTCTGGCTTATAGACCAGTTCCTCCCACTGTGCCCTCCCATCCTGGAGGAGAGAATCGGGAGTGCACAAGATCCCCAGAATCTCTCCTGCCAAGGGCACTCACCCCATCATGAGAGTCCCTTCCTCGTGATCATATCTAGCCATAATTACTCCCTTAGGCCCCTCTCCAAATGCCATAAAAATGGTGAGGTTAGGTCTTCAATATGTGAATTTGGGGAAGGGGATAAGACCAACTGCAGGCTATTTTATCTTTCTGCTGTCCTTGGGATCAACGCTAAGGGTCAGATCTCTCAGACAGGCCAGGGATCCAGCAAGAATATCCTGATAGCTCTGTCCCAGACCTGCTGTGGCATCCAGGTGATAGCTTGCATCCCTCTTTTCCTCTACAGGACCCTTCATTCCACATCAGTCTGGCCTGGTGTGTGGGTGATGCTCGTCCCCAGCTAGAAGGACAGTGCCTGCAGGAACTACAGGTAAATTCCCAGGGCAGGAGCAGAGAGTGCTGAGCTCTGGAAGGACAAGGTGGACACTGGGGAGGGGAAGGACTAAGCATCCAAACCTGTATGCCTGGGAAGCCAGTGAAATGGCAAAAAAACAAAAAACAAAACCCTCAAACGTTACCTTGCAACTCAAAGTGTGGTCCGTGGACCAGCAGCACCAGCAGTACCTGGAAGCTTATTAGAAATACTATTGCTTTGATCCCACCCCTTGCCTAGGAAAGCAGAAATGCATTTTAATAAGATCCCTAGGGATGTGAGTTGCAGGAGGCTGTGAGAAGGCTGCTGGTTTTCCCTGCAAGGCTTGGGCTTGGCCTGTACTGGGAGTGAGTGGAGGGTGCCAGGTGTAAGGAACATCCAGCCCCCAGAACCTAGCACAGTTTGATAGTAGGTGAGATGTTTTACCCTCCCATTAGTGCCCTTGGGGGAGAACCAACAGTGACCAGCAGCTGATGCTCTGCCCCCGGTGGGGAGGCAGTGGGGAGGCAGGCCATGCGGGAATGTGGCTTATGCTGCTTAGCTGGCAATTCTGTTTTTCAAGAAAAGCCAGAAATGCAGATTTTTATGTGTATCTCCCAGTTTTCAAATATTGGAAAATGATGTCGATTTTTAAAAACACTTTGTAAGGCAAACAGACTCTGTGCAACCCACAGACCATCATGGAGTAGCCTCCCTGCTCTGCCTCGGTCATGCTGGGAGAAACAGAGAGCACGGACTTCTGACTCTAGCAGACCTGGGTCCCAGTCCTGGTCCCCCTGGTTTCTGAAACCCAGAGCTTTGAGCTTTGTGTCCTCATCTGTAAGTTGGGGTGGTAGATGGATGGCACAAAGTTGCAGAGATGATTAGACCAGACAGCTCCTGCAGAGCCGGGGGCTGCGCAGCTGCTTCCCCCTCAGCATTGTCTACCCTCTGAAGGAATTCACGAGGCTGCTTTTGTTTGCCATGTCCTCTGGGTCCGGGATTTCCCTTAATGTGACCGTGCTGTCCCGCTGCTGGCTGAAGGAAATCTTGGATGAGTTTGAGGATTCTGAGATGCTGCTCCGCGTGCTCACCGAGCAGGTGCGCTGCAAGTCTGGGAACAAGTTCTTCTCCATGCCTTTGAAGTGAGCACAGAAGCCTTACTTGTCCAGGCCCCTCTGCAGGCCAGGCCATGAAGAGGATAGTCCATGGGAACACTCCCAACCTCCCTCTAAGAGGCCCAGTCATGCCTCGGACTGAGTGGTGTTGCCATCCTGGATTGTCCTGGGGGCTGCTTCTCCTGGTCCTCTGGGGTTTCAGGTTGGATGCAGCTGTATTGTGGTCATTCCCAGGAGTCACCAGTAGAGGGCAGCCTGGGTTTCCTAATTCTTACACTGTGGCTATGCAGAAAAGAAAAATGAGGGCTGCCAGGGGAGCCCACCCACACTCAGCCAGAATCCCCACCATAGTCCCCCTAATGAACAGCCCCCTCCCTGCCACTCCCCCTTCTGTGTTTAGTATTTTGATGCCCTTGGCCTCATACCAGGTTTTTTTAAATCATCATGCCCTGCCTTATCCCTGTCAAGCAAGGACATAGGGTTTTCCGAGAGTCTGTCACCCTCCTTCCTTGAAGTATGTCACTTTTATTTATTTTCTGTTAATCCCAGCCCCTCCTGTGCCAACAGAGACCATTTCGGGGCCAAGGTACAGGGTGGTAATTTGTGGTTCAGCATCAGTTTTCTCCATTCTTTCCTCCCACTCACCCCCAGCCAGGTGCCTGGGGAGACTTGAGCAGATGTTTCATTTTGGCCTAGCCGTGGCTGAAAGCCCGGCCTCCAGCACTCTGTGACCTCTGGCTTCCCCACAAACTTTCCCAACTTCCCCGGTCAGTGCCTGGGCATTCTGTAGGGAACCTGGAGGGAGGACCAGGGATACACAGGACCTTTATTTTTTCCATCCCTCACCAAGGTGAAGGGCCAGCTCTCTCCAGTTATTATCTGGGTTTCTGGTAATAGATGAAGAAATGTTTTTGTTATAGTTTCAAATTATGTTCAACAAATAAAAATTGCATTTTTAAAAATTTTTTGTCTTGTTTTGGACTGTAAGAAGGTGAGTGAAAGGTGACTCTCCTCTGTCCCTGCCTCCCCAGGTGTGCTTCACAATTTAGAGGGTCTCTGTGAGTCTCTTATGACTTCTAAGGTGGGCTAAAGGGGTTTCAGTAAAATGAGGGTGGGGTCACCCAGCCTTGCCAGGCCCTCACACGGGAGGCTGCCGGAGCACATGTAGCCAGGGCTGGGTGTGTGGCAAGGGATTGCCTTCCCCGTTCCTCAAGGGTCGAAGCACAGATGTTTAGACTTTACACTGCTGTAACACTTATTGCGTCCTAGGACCTTCTCATGTACTCTTTTCCATAACCCCCTGAACAGAAACCAGGGTAGGAAAGATTGTTGCTTTATGGAAGAACTTGTTAAGTGACTTGCCTGGGGGCATGAAAAATCAGCGGTAATGGCCTGACCCAGCCCTAACATCAACTCCTGTTCTGGCAGGGCCCAGGTGTATCACTGCACACCACAGGCTCCTGCTCAGCCCTGAGGGAAAGGTGCAGGGAGAGGGGCCCATTGCTCTGGCTGCCACTGTGCCCTGGCAAAACCGCCCTATCCTCACTCAGGAGGCCACGTGCGTACCTATTCCCCTGAAACCACCACACTGGTCTGACTCCTGCCTGACTGGTCAGTTGCTTCCCTCTTCTTGCATTTGAGATCACAATGGTGAGAGAGAGGGGGCCAGTCATGTTTTCTGTCTTGCAAACAACGTGGTAACTCTGGCTGCACAACCCACATTACTGACACCTGCTCTGTGCTAGGCCTGAATTGGACACTGACATAAATCAGTCAAAGTCTGACCCCGGTGCTCAGAATGGGGAAAGCAGGCAAGGTGCGTGGAGAGGAATCCCTAGCCCCAACTTCATACTTCCCAAAACGACTGGCTGCTTCCCTGGGGAGGATGTAACTCCTATAGTGTCCGGCAGAGGATGGAATTAGAGAGCAGCCACTTTGAGGAATGGGCCAAGATCAATAAGCAGCTCTTCAATGGAGAATGGATGGTGGCGATTGAGGAAGGAAGCAGAAGTTGCGCTGGGGGGAGGGGTGGGCAGGCCAGGCTGGGCGTGAGGAGGCCAGGCAGCAGGGGCTTGGCGGATACCCAGACATCGGATGTGCCTCCAGAGCAGAGCAAAGTGCTCTACTCCCGCTGACAGTGCAGAAGCAGCTGAGGCTCTTCCATAAGAGGAAATGTACTCCAGAAACCAGGGAGAGAACTCTTGAGAAAGAAGGAAAGATTGGAGCAGGCTGAGGTCCCAAGCTGCTGGCTTGCAAGGAAGAAATGCTCTTGATGAGGATTTTTTCACACCAGGGAGAGAACCGAATCAACACATCTGGCCCCAGCGTCCTCAGACTTTCCCACAGGGCAGGGAAATGGTCATCTCATGGCCTGATTGGCGGGTTTCCACCTGGCACTCCCAGGCCTCTCCATCGCCTCTCCAGACCACCCCAGCTTTGTTTCCAAGGGAAAGAGCAATTACCTCGGCTTGCTTGTTTATTCCTTGTCTTGGCACCAGGAGTCCCAGGAACTGCCTTGCAACCCAACCGGACCTGTTTTGCCTGCCTCAATTGTGCCAAGCACTGAAATGGTGAATTTTGCAAAAGAGAAAGAGTTTATTCATCAGGCAGCCAAATGAGAAGAGGCAGGAGTCCCAAGTCTCAAATCTGCCTCCCCAGGACAGGGTTTAGGGATGCATGGGGTAAAGAGGCAGGGTGGTCTGAGGCGTGGGGAAGGGTGGTCAGACTAGGAAAAAGTGAAGTCATCTGAGTTCTGCTCAGGCATAGACCAAGAGTCCTATGACTCTTCAGAAAATGGCAGCATTAGCATGCTCTGCAGATGGTATTTTTAGCTCTCTGATGTCAAAAGGGCACCCGTCGGACACCTGACCGGGCCCAAGTGAAGGGTTAGTGATTTTAGCTGATTTGAACTACCTCAAAATTGCTGAAAACCAACTTTACCACGACTCATATATCAGAAGTGTTATCTACCTATCTCAAAGTGAATGTGAGTATACTGCTGAGCTACAGGACAGCTAAAATGGGTGATAAATGCAAGAGGGTTTATTCAGGTTTTCCCTCAGTGGCAGCCTCACCTTTGAGGTGGGCCTGGTATGCTACCTTGAGGGGGGAAAGGGTCCTGGGCCTGGGCAACTTTCTTTCACTGAACCAGACCTCTCCTTCTAGCTGGGTCAGCTCTTACAATGAGGAGACAAATCCTCAGAGGGGAATAACATGTTCCAGATCATCCAGCAAATTCGGGCTGGGATAGGAACCTCATGCCCTGGCTTTCAGTCCAGAGCTTTCTATACAACCCCTGACACCACATCAGGGTCTCAAAATGAAACTATGCTATGAAACACAGTAAACAGGCTTTGATTCAAAAGACCAAGAAGAAAAAAAAAGTTGGGGTCAGGGGTCAGGATAGAGATGAAACAATGTTGGCAAGCTGTGGTGTTTAAAGCTGGCTGACCAAGGGCTGCTGTTCGTGCTTCTCAGTTCCTTGTGTCCTCTTAAGATCTTAGGTTCTGGCTAGACAGGACAGAAACTTAGTTGCCTTGCCCACGGTACCTGTAGGAGCCAGAACTAATCATTGGGAACCCCTGGTCACAGGGGAAGCCACTTTCAAGAGGGATCCCCATAAGAGAAAACAATCTCTGGACTTGTCCAGCTGCAGGCCTCTACAGATGCTGCTCACCTTCTGGGCTCCTTTCTTATTCAGTGGTCCCATAAACCCACTTTTATTAAAAAAGAAAAACTGGCTGAATGAGAATAAACACGGGGAAAGATTGCAATGCATTCATTTAAACAGGGGCAACCCTGATGTCCATTTCTGAAAACCACTGTACGTTTCCCCAAAGCAAATTTCAAAGTGGAGAATTTAGAAACCCATTTCCTATATGAGGGATCCCTACAGAGAAGTTAAAGAAAATCAATGAATTTGCCAAACTCGAACTTCCTTCCTCGGAGGAAGCTCTGCCAGGTAACATCAGGTCGGTTCTAATAGGCCATTTCCAAGGCTCTCACCCTGCCTCCAATTTCAGGGAGGCAAGCTGGCTAAGGAGCCCCAAGGGCCCACTTTAGGGAAAACCGCCCTCAGGTAAGGGAAGCTCTTATTTCCTGGTCTGCAGAGAGGTGAGATCTCAGCCCCAATCACCCCAATCACCTCGCTGCCCTGCCTGGCCAGGGCCCTGGGTCAGAGCAGTCCTAGATCCCTATGCACAGTCTTTGGGGGACCTTCAATCCGGGGTCCCTAGCTCTGGCCTCCAGCACCGACACGGACTGATCTCAGACCACTCCTGGAATACTTTTAAATCTAGCACATTAAGATCCGAGGGAAGGTTGCCCCCCCACCCCCGGGTCCAGAGCCTCAGTGGGCATTTCACTTGCACATAATGGTGGCCAAGAAGTGCCTGGCTTCAGTTTGGAAATTAATGTGTGCTGAGCAGGAGCCAGAACCCTCACCCAATCTTCACCCCAACTCCTTGCCCCACATTCCAGATGAAATCATGAAGGCCCAGAAAGACGAAATAATTTGTCCACATCCAAGCAGCGGGCGAATGGGGGACACGGGACTCCTAACCCTGTGCCACCCCGCCTGCCGGAGGCACTCAACTCCCCCCTCACTTTGTGATTGAGGAAAGTTACTAAAGGGCCCAAAAGACGCTTTGAAAAGGGGCCTTGGCCATCAAACTTCCAGAGTTTTGTTTTGTTTCAGTTTTTTGTGCATTCGTTTGTTTTAGTCAAAACACGACACTTGGGTCCCTTCCTAGCCCTCCTTCCCGTCCACCTCTGCCTCAGTATTCCCCATTCTCAACCACCCAGGGCGAGGAGAGGAGGAATCTTCATTCCTCCTTTCAGGGAAACCACGCCTTCCTTGCGCCCTCTAAAAGGATCCAACTGGGGTCACCCTCACGTTCAGAACCGGGATGGAGTGACGCAGGGCGGGCTTAGGGGTGTTTGTCGCCATCTGGGAAGAATAGCCCCACCTGCCGGGGCTTGACTACCGGCACCTGCTACTCAGAAGCCTCTGGTTAGGGTATTGGCCCCAGCCCCCCCCGCCAGGGACCGCACGCAGGGAGCGTACTGGCCCTTTAAGAGCGGCGGCGGCCGAAGCGCGCGGGGAGGAGGGTTGGGAGCGCCGGGAGCCGCGCGGAACTCGCCGGGTACGTCGGGCGCCAGTTCCCTGCGCTCCTCCCGGGACTGCCTGGGGACCCGGGCCCTGTTGGGCGCAGCGGTGAGCAGAGCCGCGGGCAGGAGGCGCGCGCTCTGGGCAGCGCCTGGCCTTGGGCATGGACAGAGGGAGCTCAGAGCGCAGGGGGCGCGGCGGGTCCGGGCGGCCGGAGCGCTGAGCCAGACAAAGGCTCAGGAGTTGCGCTTGCTCTCGGGAGCCGGGCGCTGGGCGCCGACGCTGCGGGACCCTGCGGCCCGCGGCTCCGGCCCCGCCCCCTCCCGCGGGCCGGCTCAGCGCGCCCGGACCTGCCCCTGCCCGCTTCTCCTCGCGCTTGGGAATTTGCCGAGGGGACCTGAGCGGCTCCAGCAAGGACCTAGAGCCAGAGGTCCGCCGCGCGCCCGCCGGGCCGGAGCCAGGGAGCGTCGCAAGTTTTCTAGCCGCGCACGGGGACCCGGCACCCGCGAGCAAAGGAGCTCGGCGTGCAGCGCTCCAGACCAGACTAGGCGCCGAGAGCATGGGCAGCGACCGGAGCGCGTCGGGACGGCCGAGCGGCGCGGGCAGCCTCCTTGGCGGTCGGGAGGCAGCTGCACGGCCCCGGCTGCTGCTGCTGCTACTGGTGCTTCTGGGCTGCCTGGGCCGCGGCGCAGCCGCCGAGGACGCAGAAATCCACGCAGAGGTAAGGACCCCCGCCCTGCTCCATTGCTGGAGGATGGGGAGGGGAGCCACGCCCGCAGCCGGGGACCCGGAGGTGGGGGAGCGGAGACGTCAACCCGGCTGGGGATTGACGGGGAGAAGGGTCCGGGAAGAAAGAGGAGCTGCCGGGCTGCTCCTCCCGAGCTCGCCCTCATCCCAAACCCTGGAGGACATAGAGCTTGTGCCTTCCCAGGGCACTGCTCCGCTCTAGCCTGTGTCCCGGAGCCGCTTCCGCCGCCCCCATCCTTTTCCGTCCCTCCCCGGCTGCCGATTCCTCGAGAGCCGGACTGGCGCGCCCTTTACAAGTGGGGAGGGGGCTGCTGGGGGTGTCTGGGGCGGAGCCGGAGCTGGACAGAGCTCCTGCTTAGGTAGCCTCGGGTCTGGCAGACACCTTGCGTTGCCCAGCTGGCCAGGATGGGGAGGGGGAGGGGTGCGAACCGCGGGCAGCAGACTCAGGTTGCAGAGGCGCTTTGGCGACTTTCTAGCGCTCTTGCGCTGAAGCCTCTCCGCACCCTGGTGGAGTCCCAGGCAGAGACCTTGTCTTCCACAGCCCTTCTTCCCACCCGCACCCTTACTCCGAGGCTTGATAGGAAAGAGTAGACTCCGTGCCTCTTTTTTTCTGGAAGCCCGACTGACGTCCCCACGCGGGCCACTCTCTGGATTGGTCCCGCGGGTAACCAGGCGCGGCCTCCCGGCGCAGAGCCAGGTCCAGTCAGCAACTCCAGCTCCAAGGGGTCCCCCAACAACAGCTCCGTCGTCCTAGAACAAAAAGAGTCGATTCTTTCCTGACTTCTAAGATCCTGGACAGGTGATGAGAGGAGTGGGGAGAGGACTGCCCTGGAACCGTCGCCAGACAGGGTAGGCTCGGGCCTCAGTGCTCTTGGGCTGCCCGGGCTGCCGGCCCAGAGAACGTCTGTGCGCTGTTTCTATTTGCAGCGGACCGGTGCTCCCCCCCAGCCTTCGGCAGCCTGCTCGGGAGATTTTTCAGATGGAAGCCTGTCCCTTCCCCGCCCTACTTTAATAAAAGCTTGGAGGAAGGGCAGGGAATTCCTCCCAGGCTCGAGTTACACCTCCCAACCAGTTCCCCACCTGCTCTGCCCTCCCTCCCGGCCAGGCCAGGGGATGCTTCAGGGAGCCAAGCCCTGGCCCAGTCCTACTTTCCACAAACCAATTCTCACAGGCAGAAACTTATAGGGCTTCTTGCTAGTAGGGATTGCCAGTGATCTGGGTACTGTGTTGTGGGGAGGAGGTGTCACCTGCCACAAGGAATTTCAAGTCAGATTCACCCTTAAGGACTTTATAATACACATAGGGATGGCATCCTCATACAGGATGATTAGAGACCAAGCTAGAATTTGGAGGCTGTGCACTATGAATGAGCATCCTGGACGGCCAGGAGCTGAGATGCTGAGACCAGTGGTTTCTGAGGCTTCACACTCTTTCCTTTGCTTCTGTGAGTCCATCACTCCCACTTCCCACAGTTCCATATATCCACAGCTCAGTCTCTCCAGGGAAGAGACCCCTGGTATTACTGAAGCCACAGGCCATGGCCTAGAACCTGTGGTGTCACTGGCTAGGAATTCTGATTGGCCCTACTTCTGTGAGACAACTCAAGCTGGGCCTGGGCTGTGTCTGGAAGGGACCCTAGAAGGTTTAGGAAGACTTGAATGTAGAAGGCTAGAGAGAGAGATGAATGGAATAGAGATGATGCTCAGGGGTAGAGCACTTGGCTGGGCCCTGTGTTTGATTCCCAGCAACAACAATAACAAAATGGATAGTCCTAGTTCCTAGAACTGGCTTTGGGGTGTAAGCTGGTATCTAGACCCAAAGAGGCAGTGGCCTTAGCGTCCAGCATGTCTATTCAGACTCCTGGGCCTGGCTTACACCCTGGCCAGAGCCTCCCTACCTTGAAAAAGGGCTCTGGTTCTTGCCCCAGAATGTCCACAGCTCCAGACCCTAGGACCATCTCCAAGCACGGTGGCAGCTGGGCCGAAGCCAACCCCTCCCCTCCCTTTCAGCCAACCAGGATGGAAGCCTCAAAAGTTTCCCCCAGTTGACTCAGGGAGTCTGGCCTGTGCGAGGAGCCAGCAGACACCTGCAGCCAGCCTGGGCCCACCCAGAAAGGCTGTCTTGGAGAAGCCAGCACTGCAGCTCTCCTATCCAACTCCCTCCCTTGGACACCAGAGCCCAGCCTCCAGCCATTGTGCACTGAAGCCCCACCTGGCTGAGGTGCTAGCTGTAGCTTTGGGCCAAGTGCACAGAGACTCCAGGCCCTTGTCAGGTCTCTATGCTGCTCTTCGTGGCTGCAGTTACCTGCCTTTGGTTGTCGCCAGAGAAGCTCCCACCTGGATCCACCCTCAGCCTGTCCCACCCCGCAGGCACAACTTCAGGTGACTCAGCTGCCAGAGTTCACAGGTATGATGCCACCACATAAACATGGACACACCCATCTTCCCTGAACAGACCCAGGAGTGTTTTCCCGCCCCTTCCTGGCCACCAAGCGGGATGAGCAAAGGGATGGAGTCAACTCCAGTTCTCATTTGGACCTGCCAGCCGCAGCCCTGGGTTTCCACTTCTACTCACATTTCATTGCCTCCCACCCCCCAGTCTCCTTATATCCATATTCTTTAAATGAAGCAGAAACCATAGAGACCCTCTATCCACTCTCAGGAAAAAGGGGTCCGTGTCAGGGCCGTCTCTGGGAATCCATAGTAGCTGCTGACACGTGGCCCTCTCCATGTGCTCTTTCCAGTCCCAGAGAGCACTGGTCTGATTGATATGATGGATGGGACTCTGATTGATGTGATGGATGGGACTCTGATTGGGGCTGTACCTTTCAAACCAGTCCTTGCCACGTCCCTGTGCTTGGCTGCCCTTGGGCGTAACCCATCAGCTGCCTCCTTGCAGAGAACAGCTAGTGTGTCCCCTCCTCTAAGCAACAAATGTGTTTGACCTGTCCACTCCTGGACACCAACATCACAAAGGGTTGCGGATTCTTTCAAGACATCCCTGGGTGTGGACGGGAAATATACCTAGTCCCCCTCCAAGATGATTTCTGCTAGAAGCCCAGCACCCACTGCCCCCATCATTGATGCCAGCTCAGAATGGCAATGCCACAGGCCTAGAAGAATTGCTCCCTGCCCACTACTTGATTCTGGCTGTCCCTCCACACCCCCGTTGTTGCTTGATCTAGCAGTTCCCTGCCATTGTCACCTCTGCCCAGTTTGGCTTCTGAGTCTAGCTATGGTGGTCGCTGTGGGATGTCCCTGCTTCCTGGGTCAGATCAAAGTTGGCACCTTCTATATCATCCTGACACATGTGGCTCACACTCTAGGACACTCAGGCAGGAGCAAAGCCCCGTGACCAGTTTTGCTTTGGGCATGGAGATGCATTCCCTGAGTCAGCAAAAACAGGGAGAGTTTGAGGACACTCCTCCTGGATCCTTCTTCATTACAAAGGGTCCGTGGAGAAGCCACAGATAAACATGAGGGCCTGGGATCCTGAAGGTAGCTGAACACTCCAGGCCTGTGACAGACAGAGGTGCCTTGTGGCTGAATAAGCCCCTCTGAGGGCTTGAGAATTAGGGCTCCTGAAGGGGTCCCCAGAAGGATAAAACGTGCCTGGAGACCAGGAGCCATGGGGCTGGGCCCTTTTGGAGAGGTGGCAGACCTAGGCATGAATGGCAGAGGTGTGTGAGCAGGGCTTGGATCAGAGAAACAAAGAGGGAAAATCCTACCAAATCCCATTCCCATGGAGAAAATGAGCAGGAAGACCCAACCCAACCTCCGGCATCAGGATAGATGGATGAAGACCTGGCCTTGGCCAGCCCCGAGAGAAGCTCCACATCCTCCTGCCATATGATGGCCAAGCCCTGGAGCTGTGAAACCTGGAGGCCAGGTCTGGTTTAGCTCTCCAGGCCCAACCTGCAGTTCTGGGTACCACCTTGTTCTTTTCCCCAGGAGTGACAGCCATCCTGGAGGGGTGAAGGTTCCCCAGCTCCGAGCTCAGTGCTTATAAGCATAGTACCTGGTACATAGGAAGTGCTTGCAAAATAGTAGCAAACCTTGTGACTGTGAGAAGCAAGTGGCATTTACAGTTGGGCACCTCCATTGAACCTGTCTGGAGCCTCAGTTACCATCTATAAAATGGGAATAGCAGTAGTACCTACTTGAAGGAGTTGCTGGAGAGCCTTATTGCATTTATGTGCAAACACTGAATGCTGTGTGCAGTGGCCACGTGTGAGGCTCAGAGAGGCTAAGGTGTTATTTTTATTGATTGATTGATTGATTGATTGATGCTGGGGAGTGAATTCAGGAGCACAGAGTCCCATCCCCAGCCCTTTTTAATATTTTATTTAGAGACAGGGTCTGGCTGAGTTGCTTAGCACCTTGCTTTTGCTGAGGCTGGCTTTGAACTCGAGATCCTCCTGCCTCAGCCTCCCAAACCCCTGGGATTAAAGGTGCGCGACATGGCGCGGGGCTTCAGGTTTTATTTCTGAGCACCTTCAACATACTGTATCCTGGGCATGGCTAGGAATGCTCTGTAAGCATTTGTACATTTCACTGTCTTTTCAACTCTTAGTTGGGTGCTCCATTTCCCCACTGTGTGAGGGAGAGTATACCAAATTCTACACCCAGAGACTGAGAAGCTGAGATTTGAACTCAGATCAGTGTGGCTTGAAACCCCAGCCTCAGCTGGGCTAAAAGCTGCAGATCAGCCTGCAGGGTGCCATGCTGGGGAACTTCCGCCTGGCAGGAGCCTGCTGGGCCTGAGCCAGGTGGGAAGGAGGTTTCAGGGGTGGGGCCAGAACTGCCCCAGCAGTGTGAGCCTGGAGTCCCCACCCATCAGCCTTCTGCCCCTGCCCTGCAGCAGCCCCATCTAGTAACCACCTGCAGGGGGAGTTCCAGGTGAGGCCCCAAGGCCTGGCCCCCAGCCCACCCTGAAACTCCTAGGGAACAGAGGTCTCTTCACCCCGCCCCTGCCCACCCACTGGCCAAAGGACTGGTTTGTTTTTTCCTCCAGGTTAAAGAGTGTGGGGGCGGGCTGGAGGGTAAAGAAGTGGCAGGAACTCGGAAGTCTGCCTCCTTCCTGCTTCCCAGGCTGGATGTCCCCTGCCACCCAGAGTCCCAGCCCCCCATGTGCAACTCTTTAAAGAGCCATAGCAGGGGGTAGGTTTAAGCCCAGAGAAGCACCTGTGTCCCAGAATTTCTTAGATATGGACAGTGCTGCCCCTAAAGTTATCTAGCAAGACTCCAAAGGCTGGGTGACCTAGCCAGCCCCCTTTCTTTAATGACTTTGGAGCTAGTTGTCATTTGTTTTCTTAAGCTTGTTCTGCATGACCCCATCTTACAGGGTAGGGAACTGAGGGTCAGAGAAGCTGCCTTGATCATGTTCTGTTCCTCCAAGGCCTGTTATGTGGACAAGCAGTCAGGACCAGGGGGCAGAGGTGACACGGTGGGGGCTGATTTCTGCTCAGCCCATGGAAGAGCTTTCTAACACTTGTTGCTGCCCGGAGATGGACTGCGCTACCCAACTCTGCAGGGGAGCGGCGGGATGAGTCCTTGGCCCAACTGTGGCCTCAGGGAGTGGCAGGCTTGGTGACATTGAAGCCCTTTCTGGCATTAGACTGGATACATCTGGGTCCTGCTCAGGGTCACCCAGCTGGTGCGTGGACTCTGGAAGAGACAGGCCTGTGGGCCTGGAGTGCATGCCCTTGCAGGGGCTCTGGATGCCCAGTTTAGTCCCTGGCACAGCTGGGAGTACAGAGCTTTGGCCTGCTCCCAAGAGCCCTCGGGGGCAGGAGTATGGGGTAGCGGAGATGGGCATGATTAGGACCTCACAAAGCCACAGAAGGTCTGGGGGCTGGATCCATCGTTGGTGGCCCTGACAAGACTCCTTTTGTGCCTGGCTGCATGAGCCTGCCCAGGTCTGACTGCAGAGAGAACTTGGGCGAGAGGTGAAGCAGAGCCCAGGATGCATGGTCTTTATCACGGGGGTCTGATAAGGGCCCTGTGGGAGGGGCTGCTGGCTGGCTCCACTGATCTGGGCCTCTGAGGAGCTTCTGTGGCAGCAGGAACAGGCTCTGGCCCCGCCCCCATCCCCTGGCCACTTACTGCACAATATTGATCTGGTGCCTTCTCAGCCAAACCCTCCCTGCAGGCCTGCCTGTATTGTCTCAGCAGTCCTGGGGGAGGGCCGTGTGGCTCGGTGCCCAGACCCAGCCAGGGACGTTGGGTGTGGGGAGGATTAGAGGCCCTTACCCAATGCTGTGCTGGGCACTGCTCCTGAGAGGGCCCAGAGCCCAGTGTCCCCACACAGGTCGGGATTGCTGGTGGTGCTTAGAAACAGTCTGTTCTGATAGCTCTGCCCACAGGCCCACTCCTAGCCCAGATCTGCTGAATGACCCTGCCTGGGCAACCCACCCTCTCTGGGCCTTCTGGGTGTATAGTGGGGATGGTTCCATGTTCATTTACTTTTCAGGGGTGGTTGTGAGCATTCAGTGGGGTGATGAGACTGTGCTGCCTGGCCTAGGCTGGACTCTTAGGTGCTGTATGATGGCCTCTCTTGGGCACGTACTCCTTGGGCCCCTAGTCATCTTGCCCGGGGCCAGCCACTCACCTGCAGCATCAATAAATACTTTTAGGATGGGACCTGGAGCTCAAGAAAGAAATGGCGGAGGGATCCACAGTGCTGGGGTCTCCTGCAGCAGCCCCGTCCTGTTCTGCAGATGGGAGGGGCCCTCATGGCCCCAGAAACCTCCTCTCCTCCCTCGGGGCCTCATGGAGGGGGGAGGGAGCAAGCCCTCACTCACACCCTTCCCTGTTCTGCCTCTCACTGACCTCCCTGAGGAACACTTTTTTCTCTCCCTTGTACCAGGGGTTGAACCCAGAGGCACTGACCCACTGAGCCATATCCTCAGTCCTTTTTATTTTGAAATAGGGTCTCACTGAGTTGCTTCAGGCCTCACCAGGTTGCTGAGGCTGGTTTGGTCCTCCTGCCTCTGCCTCCCCAGCCTCTGGGATTACATGTGTGCACCGCGCCTGGTGAGGAACAGACCTTCACGCGCTTGCTCACCCTGCTCTGAGACTCCAGGCCGACGGAGAGGAGTCACCTTGTGAGGGGACAGTTTTAGTCACCACTAGGAGCTTCAGGGGCTTGAACTGGTCACAGCCTTGGGGACGGTTCCCACCTTTTGCGCAGTAGCACCAGGGCCTGGCAGGCCGGGCCCCCTCACCTGGAGGCAGCAGCACCTGCCACGTCCCTGGGTTCCCTTCAAGCTGTTGCCCACCCCGTGTCCTCGCCTTCTGAGCTTGTCACACGTGATGCGGGGGTAGGGTGGCAGGAAACTCCCTCCTGGGCACTGGGGACAGGAAAGAAGCCCGCAGCCTTGCAGGAGGCGTCTGCTGACACCTGGCTGGTTCACTGGCTCTGGGCACCCGGCCGCCTGAGCACGCTGGCCTGAGTCGGGCAGGCCTCAGCGTCTCCTCACCCAGAGGCTTGCCTGGCTGCTCTGTGCCAAGGCCACAGTTCTGCCTGCGTCCCTGCTGCCCAAGAGGTGCCACCAGCTCTGGGCCTCTAGCTCGTCACTACAGCGGTGGCTGTGAGGCATTTGTCACCGGGAGGCTGAGGGTTCAGGGCTGACTGACAAGGAGACAGAAGTTCTTCATTCCCTGGGCGCTCGGAGGTGCCTGTCTGTGAGGGGGAGGGCCCACAGCCACCCTTGGAACTTTCCTGACTTTCCCCTGAGCTGGCCCTGGGACCAGAAGCCCCTCTGCCTCACCCCTCTGCTGGTTTCTGGAACTCTCTGCTGCAGACAGGCCAGCTCCTCTGCCCTCCCCTCTCCCCCTCTCTCCTGTCGCTCTGCAGACACCGCTAATCAGCCCCTCGGTGGCCTGTGATTGCGCTCCTGGAGATATTTTTACCTTATGCAAATAGGAAATGTAGAGGTGCCCTCACCGCAGCCAGCCCCCTCCCCCTCCCCCAGCTCGTGCCTCGTGCCCTCAGAGCTGGCCAAGCTCGGGGGCCTCGCCTTCTGGGCCTCTCCTGGCATCTTCAGGAAAACTGTATCCACTAGTGGGGTGGACCCACTGTCCCCTGCCGCCACCACCACAGGAGTTTTGAGGAGAGTCGGTGCTTGGGAAAAGCCACAGCAGTGCCACGACACTGGCAGTGTGTGACAGAGCTCAGGAGGGCGGGGAGGGGCCGGAGCCACCTGGGCAGGGCCTGTTGGGCCTGGCTGGTGGCAGTGTTGTGAAGCCCACCCTTCCAGCCGGGAGCAAAAGGCTGCCAGGCCCAGAGAGGAGCGGGCGGGCCCCCTGGTTTCTATTGGGCACTTTCTATTTCATCCCTGTAGAGACCCCCAGATGGGGGCCCTAAAGCAACCCCCTTTGACCACGGAGACGCAGAGTCACATCTCGGGAGCAGCCAGGCCAGGCTCTGTCCTGCTGTGGAGCTGACGGTGGTTTCTCTGCTCCATGCTTCAGTGTCCCTGCTCTGTGCTTGCTCCCTGGGTCCTGAGAGGCCACCTGCGCCAGCTGCACACCAGCCTGCCATTCCGCAGTCCCGCATCCCAGCCTAGGTGCTGCTGGGCTGGGCTGGCGACGGCACAGGGCGCTGAGGGCACAAGCACCAAGGAGCCGGAGGCACTGCAGGCGGGTGTGTGGGTGTGGCCAGTCAGCACAGCTGTCAGTCCCCAGCTGCCACCATGTCCAGCTCTTGGCCTGCCTTGGACACCCCATGTGTACAGTCCTCGCCTTCCAAGTTGCTCAAGGAGTGGCCGTCAGCGTGGGTGAGGAAAGGCCGGCAGGACGCCCTTGCATGTGACTGAGGCCCCTTAGTCCCTGGCTTCTGCTGAGGGGCAGGGAGGTCGCCTTCCTTGGGGCTCAGCCTGGCTTCCGCCCTCCAGCTGCGACTGCAGATGTCACAGGGTGTAAAATCCTCCCCAGAGACCGTAAGCCCTGGAGGGTAGGACACTCCAGCCCTGTCCCCTAGGGCCTCCTGCTGCACGGTTCCCGGCTTAGGAATGGTGCTCCAAACATTTGGCTGGGTGGATGGATGGAGGGATGGGTAGATGGATGGATGGACAGAGGGATGAGATTTGTCCAGCAAGTTCTGAAAGGGCTTGAGCACACCCATTGTGTATCCGACACTTTTCCCAGGCCGCCTCTCTCAAACCTCACCCCAACAACCCCATTCTAACTCATTTTGCAGATGAGGAAACTGAGGCTCAGAGAAAGGACTTTATGGCAGGCAGAGCATGGTGGTGTGTGCCTCTAATCCCAGGTTAGGAGGTTTAGGAAGGAGGATTTTCAAGTTCAAGACCAGCCTCAGCAATTTAGCAGGACCATCTCAAAATTAAAAAATAAAAAGGGCTGGCGACATGGTCCCTGGGTTCAATCCCCAGTACTACCCAAAAAAAAAGTTTGTGGCAGAGGACATCCTGACTTTAGGCCCTCGTCCCCAACTCTTAGACCCAGGTAGGCTGCTTGAGGCTGTCAGGGTTGCTCCGAGCCACCCTGAGGAGCTGGTTGTCCTACAGGTTGAGGCCCCAACAGATTCTGAACCCTGAGGTCCCCAGCAGTCACCTGGATTGGTAGGGGCCCACTCTGGAGGGACCAGTGTAATAATAATGACAGCTACTCTAGATTGTCCTCACAGACACACGTTGTCCTCTAGGGCAGACAGACAGTAATCCCCTAAGTGAAGCATACGGCCTGTCAGGTGGCAGTAAGAGGGAGGTGGCGCGCCGCGGACAGTCAGCGGGTCTTTTCTACATACCGCCAGAGAACACCTTTCCCACCAGGTCATGTTGAACAGAACTGAAGGAAATGAGGATGTAAGCCATACCAATATGGCAGAGGAGGGGGGTGGGGGTATTGCAGGGAGTAAGAACAGCAAGTGCAAAGGCCCTGCAGTGGGGCCTGCCCAGCTGGGGTCAATAGTGGGAGTGGGATCAGGTAGCGAGGGCTGTAGCTCCTGAAGAATGGGCTTTTCCTCTGAGCTCAGAGGTCATTTAGGGTTCCAGGCAGAGGACTTGTAAAGGCCATTCATTCTCTTTATATGGGAAGAGACAAGGAAGGTGGGGTCATGGACCGAGGCTGGGGGTGCGGGTTAGAGCTGCCGGCGGAGACTGTGCGTGTTTGGAGGGTGCAGGCCAGCTCTGGCTGACAGGATTGTGACTTCTTTGCAGAACTGGCTGCGGCTCTATGGTTACCTGCCCCAGCCTAGCCGCCACATGTCCACCATGCGCTCCGCCCAGATCCTGGCCTCCGCCCTTGCGGAGATGCAGCGCTTCTACGGGATCCCCGTGACGGGTGTGCTGGACGAAGAGACCAAGGCGTGAGTCTCTGGCCCCTCCCAGACCCCACGGGTGCCTCTGGCCTATTCTCCGTAGGGCTTGGCATGTGGAGATTCCAGAAAAGAGTGACCTAGATGAAAAAAATTGCCAAGGATTCCGTCTTCCCTGCCCATTCCGACGGGTTGTAGGGGCTGCCTGAAGCTGTTGAGAAAGCTTCGGAGGCGGAATCCAGACTTGGCAGAGGGGGGTCTCGGGATTGACTAGTGACGTCTGCCACAGGCATGGGAAGGGGGAGGCGCATACACAGCCCTGGCCAGGATAGGGTGTCCTAGTGGGGCCTTATTCTGAATCTAAGAGGTCAGGTGACCCAAAGCCACATCCTTGAGAAGCACTGGACAGAACATACCGAGGACAGGTGGCCTTAAGAGCTGTTCCGAGTGCACTGGTCAAAAGGGACTCGCCCTCATTGAGTCACTGCTGGACACTCCGCCTTCCAATATAAGATCATTTTGCCCAACTTCACTGGAAATAAAAGCTGAGGGTCCCCACCCCTGTCCCCTCCATCCTAGGAGCAGTTGGGAGGCTGGAGGGGCCTGGAAGGGGGTGGGCTGCCTGGAGGAGGCGGAGCCGACACAGGCACGTTCTGAGCTCACCCTGCCCGCCTGTGGCCCAGGTGGATGAAGCGGCCCCGTTGTGGGGTGCCAGACCAGTTTGGGGTGCGAGTGAAAGCCAACCTGCGGCGGCGGAAGCGCTACGCCCTCACGGGGAGGAAATGGAACAACCACCACCTGACCTTCAGGTAAGGGCCTGCTGCCCAGGGCAGCGTCCAGCCCTCTTGGTGGCTGAGCCCCAGGCTTCCTTTCCCAGCAACTCACCCTGGGGGCCGTCTAGACGGTTCAGCGACTCCCACTCCCACGCTGGGGAGAGCAGCCATGCATTCTAGGATCTCTCTCCAGAGAGGGTCAGGACCCCTGGAGCTACTTCCTCTCTGCCCTTCCCTGCCTCCCACTGTTAGCAGTCCTGGCCTTAGGCGGCCACAAGGGGCTCCAGTGGAGTCGGGGTGGGGGTGGGGGTGGGAATCCAGGCACCTGTCTTGAGCAGAGCAAGTCACCTGCAGAACTCCTGAGCAGAGTCCCAAAGGACTCCTGTTCTAGCTCAGCCACGCCCCCTGCCCAGCTCCATCCAAGAAAGAACACCTCCCAAGACCGTGTAGACCTCCAGCCCCCGAGTGAGTTCACGATCAGGTGGCCTCCCCTGCCCGTTTCATGGAAGTCTTGACCTGATTTACCTGGACAGCAGGTGCTCCCACCTTCATTGCACACAGGTTCAGTGCTACCAGTCCTTTGAGAGTTATTCTGTTCAGTCCACACAGGGACCCCTGGAACAAGTACTCCCCACCCCTCCCATTTGACAGATGAAGAAACATTCAGAATCTAAGTCACTTGCCCAAGGTCACTCCAAGGGTATTAGAGCCAGGCCTTGAACTTGGGTCTGCCTGGCCAGAGGGTCAATGTTCAGGGCAGCTTGGCCTGTCTCCCAAACCTCAGCCACCTGCATCCCATTTCCTAGGTCTTTCCCCAGCCACGAAGCTTCTGTGCTCTTATTAACTTATTGTCTTTCTTACTTATAGTCAGCTTCTGTGCCACAGTGTAGAATTTTAATTTGACAAATGCTAACTCACCTCAAAATAAACTAATGGTTGGTCCTGACCGTTTTGTGTGCGTTTCTTGGGAACTTGTCAGCAGAGGACAGTAGCCCTGGGGCCTGCATCCGCTCACGACCTTCCCACCCACCCACAGCATCCAGAACTACACCGAGAAGCTGGGCTGGCACCACTCGCTGGAGGCCGTGCGCAGGGCTTTCCGTGTGTGGGAGCAGGCCACACCCTTGACCTTCCAAGAGGTGCCCTATGAGGACATCCGGCTGCGGCGGCAGAAGGAAGCCGACATCATGGTACTCTTTGCCTCTGGCTTCCACGGTGACAGCTCGCCATTTGATGGCATGGGCGGCTTTCTGGCCCACGCCTATTTCCCTGGCCCTGGCCTGGGTGGGGACACCCATTTCGACGCAGATGAGCCCTGGACCTTCTCCAGCACTGACCTGCATGGTGAGGACAGCTGGCCAGGGTGGGGGCAGGGCCAGCAGCTCCTGGGCTAGGCATGGCCCCTTTGAATGGGTGTAGCAGCTGCGAGGTCAGGAAGGGAGAGTGTCCCCTGTTTGGGTCTCTGGAGACCTGCACTAACCTTGGTCTGTTGTCCCACCATCTCCAAGGGAGGTAGGTAGAGAAGGGTTTGCTGTACCCATTTCTCAGGTGGGGGAATTAGGGGTCAGAAGAGAGAAGCCAGGGTGGGCTCTGGGCAGCCTCGGCCTGGAGGTGTTGGGTGGCCAGGTTCTGGGATGGGTCAGAGTGACCAGGCTGCCCGCCCTTCCTGCAGGGAACAACCTCTTCCTGGTGGCCGTGCATGAGCTGGGCCACGCGCTGGGCCTGGAGCACTCAAGTAACCCCAATGCCATCATGGCCCCCTTCTACCAGTGGATGGACACAGACCACTTCCAGCTGCCCGAGGATGACCTCCGGGGCATCCAGCAGCTCTACGGTGAGTGGACGGTGACTAGTCCCTGCCTGCCTGCTGTCTTCCCCAGCCCAGGAGACGTAAGCACTGTAGCCTTGCGCTCTGTAGAGGAGGAACGGGATCAGTGACGGAGCCACGCCATTCGGGAAGTGGTCATGTTGGAAATGGAACCCGGGGCCACCAATGTCGGGGCCTGGCCTCACCTAGCATTGCACTGTGGCCCCAGGCTGGGTGCTGGAGGAGCCACTAGACGAAGAGTGCCCTAGGATCCCAGGACCCACAGCCACCGCCATTGCTCCCTCCTCACCTGTCACAGGCCCTCCCCTGAGTGTTGAGTTAGTCATTTTCCCAGTGGCTTTGAGGCAGGTGCCAGTTCCCACCTGGCAAAGCCTCCAGTGGGGAGGGCCCCTGAGGGCCAGTGCCCTGGGCAGAGCCCACACTCTGCTCACACTGAGCCCTCCTGGGGCTGCAGCCCTGGCCTACTGCCCGCATCCCCAGCCACTGACATGCACTTGGCAGGGTTCAAGGTCCCTGAGGCCAGAGCTATGCCCTTGCCTGCAGGAGTCCTGCTTCCTAGTGAGGCATCCTGAGGCAAGGGGCCCCAGGGGAAACCAAGGCAGGCAGCCTTGGGGTACAGTGACCCCTGCCCAGTGGGGAGGTCCAGAAAGGGACTGTGTGAAGATTCAGGTCCCTCTGAGGATGATGGTGAGCATGGGCGAGGGGTCTGCTGTGGACAGGCGGGCCCGCGGCTGCCCCTTCCTCCCACCCCGTCCCAGGACTCTGGGCAGAGATGCTGCTCCTCTCAGGTCTGCAGCCGCCCTCTTACTTCTTGCTTCCTGCCTTTGGCTGCAGGCACCCCAGATGGCCAGCCACAGCCCACCCGGCTTCTCCCTACCGTGACACCCCGGCGACCAGACCACCGACCTCCTCGGCCCCCCCAGCCACCTCCCCCAGGCGGGAAGCCAGAGAGGCCCCCAAAGCCAGGCCCCCCTTCCCAGCCCCGAGCCACAGAGCGGCCTGACCAGTACGGCCCCAACATCTGCGACGGGGACTTTGACACAGTGGCCATGCTTCGTGGGGAGATGTTCGTGTTCAAGGTCTGGTCCTGGTGCCTCCCCCACGCCCAGCCCCTTGGCCTAGGCTCAGAGCAGGAGAGCTCCCGCCCAGTCCACCCGAGCCTCACCAGCCTGGCACCTTGGGCACCCTTGTCCCTCCCTCACTGAGCAGCCCCAAGGGGCCATCAGACCCTGGATGAGGGACTTGCTAAGGGTCACATGGCAAGCCCAGGTGCCAGCTGCCCAGCCCAGATCTCAACCTGGGGCTGTCCTGGCTCTGCCTAGCTCCCCAGGGTCACAGTGACTCCCCCAGGCCCTCCCTGACCTGGGCAGTGGGGTGAGGGTCAGGCCTCCCCAGGCAAGGCACAGCTGCCCACCAACACCACGCCCCTCCCCAGGGCCGCTGGTTCTGGCGAGTCCGGCACAACCGTGTCCTGGACAACTACCCCATGCCCATTGGCCACTTCTGGCGTGGTCTGCCCAGCGACATCAGTGCTGCCTACGAGCGCCAGGATGGCCGTTTTGTCTTTTTCAAAGGTGAGCTGGGGCCAGCATCGGGGAGGGGCTGGGCAGCTTCCTGCCCTGACCTCTGGCCCAGCTGGACCTGAGGGAAGAGGAGGGGCAGAGGGCTGTGGGTCCTGTCTCGATCTGTGTCCCCACTCTGAGCTCACTCTGGGAGGATGGGGACACCTGAGGGCAGTGACCGCACCTAGTGGCAAGGGGTGGGGAGGCAGATAGAGGCCAGGAGTATCAGGTGGACCTGGGACTGTCGAGTCTGAAGCCTCAGATCAGGGGTGAGTGTCTGTCCCTCTTTGGCTGCACAAGGTCATGGCCCCATAAGAGCAGGTCCCCAGGAGAACAGGTCCCCAGGCCACTTTGGGGCAGGAATTCTGCGGTCTGGCTGCAGGCCCTGAGGGGCAGGGCCCTGATGGACGGCTGGGTCTCCAGCCCTGCTAGCTCCAGCCCAGGGGAGGTTGGAGGTCCCAGGGGACACAGGGCCACTGAGGTGACCTGGGGCCAGGCAGAGGCCCCGCTCCCCTACCTGTGCAAGAACTCTTAGGGGGTCCCCATGGGGGTGAAGGGCTGTGTGGGTGCGTGGGTGTGTCTGGGTGTGTGACTAACTTGCACACGTGTGTGTCGCAGGTGTCTGTGACAGCGCAACTTCCAGGGTGTGGACCTGGGGAGGTGTGCTGTACATGGTCCTGGCGTGCGGATGTCCACCTGGCGTGTGGACAGTGCTGAGTTCTTCTGTGCGTGTGTTGAGATGCTGGGTTTGTGGGCCCAGAGAAGCACTTCCTGAACCCCCACCCTACGCACAGCCTCCCCCAGGCCCCTCCTCACCCACCTCCCACCCCTCCTGCAGGTGACCGCTACTGGCTCTTCCGAGAGGCGAACCTAGAGCCTGGCTACCCACAGCCGCTGACCAGCTATGGCCTGGGCATCCCCTATGACCGCATCGACACGGCCATCTGGTGGGAGCCCACGGGCCACACCTTCTTCTTCCAAGAGGACAGGTGAGTGGCACACCACTCCCCAAAAGGGGGGAGGCCCCAACCAGACTCCCCTGCCCCCTGCAAGGCCCCACAGTAAGAGCCCACTTCCTGTGGGGGTGGGCCCTGCCCAAGCAGGGTCTCCAGGTCCATCGCCGGTGCTTCCCGTACAGGTACTGGCGCTTCAACGAGGAGACTCAGCACGGAGACCCCGGCTACCCCAAGCCCATCAGCGTCTGGCAGGGGATCCCCGCTTCCCCCAAAGGGGCCTTCCTGAGCAACGATGCAGGTACCAGGCCAGCCCCCTCCCGGAGTACCCAGTGCTCACTCCACGCCCTGCCACAGGCACAGGGGACGTAGGTGCCGGAGTCCTTCAGCATTGCCACATAGTGTATGGGACAGCGACGTCAGCTGGGCCTGGAGCTTCCTGGGCATTTCCTCCTGGCCCTCCCCCTGGTGAGGACAGATACACTAGACCAGAGGCTGGAGCAAAGCACCCCAAAGCTCACAGCTAGGAAGCTATAGAGTCCAGGCCACTGCCCTGGCCAGCCTGGGTCCAGACCTGGAGCTCGGAACTGCCTGCTGCCCCCAGGGTCCAGCTCCACACAACCCCCAGGGAGCCTCGAGCTGGAAGGGTGGGCTCGGCTCAGTATGGGGGGCAGAGTCTCCGGGTGTCACTTACCCACCTAGAAGGAAAGTCAGGTTTATCATCCTAACCCAGGGACAAGGGGCTGTGGCTCTTGCATTTCACCAGCAGCGTCTCTGGTGCATTTTTATTTTTTTAATTTTTTGATACTGGGGATTGAACTCGGGGGCACTCAACCACAGCGACAGGGTCTTGCTGAGTTTGCTTAGTGCCTCGCTTTTGCCGAGGCTGGCGATCCTCCTGTCTCAGCCTCCCGAGCCCCTGGGTGCGCCACCACACCCGGCCTCCGAGGCATTTTAGAAAAGCCATTAGCCTGGTTATTGGTTCTAGATTCTCTAGCTCAGAGGGGACCTGGCTTGTGCTCAGTGTGGTCACACGGCTTCCGTGGGGGTGTCCCTCTGCAGCTGCTCTGATCTCATTGTGTTCAGCAGAGCACAGACTCGCCCCTCACTTCAAACCTGGCCCTTCCCAGTGTCAAGGGGCCACAGGCAAGGTGCCCAAGGCCAGAGAGCCAGTCCAAGGCAGCGGCGAGTTCCGCTCGGGGTCCATGCAGGCTCAAGGCCACGTTGCCTGCCGCACAAACCTTCCCGTGTGGGAAAGCCTGGACGGGTCAACAACTCCCTGACAGCAGCCCCCAACCCAGCAGGCTGTACCCCATTGGGTTCTCGCCAGGCCCTTGACCCAAGCCCTTCTGAGCCTCAGTTTAGCTCCTGTCAGGTGGGAAAATGGCGGATTTGAAAATGTTCAGGAAAGCAAGTGAGAAGACGGGAGTGTGTTTTGTCTTGTTCTTGGCACTGGGCACGGAACCCAGCGCCTGGGGCACGCTAAGCCTGCGCTGTGCCCCTGAGCTACCCCCAGCCCCGAGGAGGGGGGGTCTTAAAACCTGGGGCCCCTTCGTCCATCGGTCATCTTTGAGGGTCGCTGGCGGGTGGGTGGGCCTGGCCTGGAGCACTCTGGCCTTCTCGTCCCGCAGCCTACACCTACTTCTACAAGGGCACCAAGTACTGGAAGTTCGACAACGAGCGCCTGCGGATGGAGCCCGGCTACCCCAAGTCCATCCTGAGGGACTTCATGGGCTGCCAGGAGCAGGTGGAGCCCGGACCGCGCTGGCCTGATGTGGCCCGTCCACCCTTCAACCCTGACGGGGGTGCGGAGCCCGGGGTGGACGGGGACAGTGCAGAGGGTGACGCGGGGGATGGGGCGGGGACAGATAAGGACGAGGACGGGGGCAGCCGCGTGGTGGTGCAGATGGAGGAGGTGGCCCGGACGGTGAACGTGGTCATGGTGCTGGTGCCGCTGCTGCTGCTGCTCTGCGTCCTGGGCCTGGCCTACGCCCTGGTGCAGATGCAGCGCAAGGGTGCGCCCCGCGTGCTGCTCTACTGCAAGCGCTCCCTGCAGGAGTGGGTGTGACCGCCCTCCCCGCCCGGTGCTGGGGGGCCGGGTGGCACTGTGGTTCCCAGGCGGCTCCCTGGGGCACCCCAGCAAGCAACAACCGTGGGGTCCCTCCATCTGCACACCTGTCCTGTCTGTCCTTTATTTATGCCTAGGGATATTTTTTTTAATTGGCACCTTAACTGAGCATTCGTTTTCTTTCCTGACCAGAGCAGAGGGCTTAGAATTTTCTCAATGTTCTTCTGCGCCAGTCAGGGAAGCCAGCCCTCATCCATCTGTGGCTTGGCCACAGTCAGAGGAGCAAGGGACAGAGACCCACCTCTGGGAGGTGGCGTAAGGGTGGTGGAACTTGTCCCAACCCTGGCCGTACCCAGGCGCCCTGTTTGTCTTGAAGGGACCTAGCTGGGTCCCCACCTTCCTGAGTCTCTCTGCCTGAGGATGAGCTTTTCACCCTGGGGCAGCCCCCAGCCAGGAGCGGTCCACTGGCCTCTGAGTCACATCTCGCCTCCTCCCCAGCCCCCACACAGACAGCCCCGGCAGCCTGCTCCCCATCCCCTGGTCAGCTGGCAGCTCCCACATCCCCTCGGGCCGCACCTCCTTCCCTCTTGGGAAGGGGCCCTGGGCCTGCCTCACCAAGGACCAAAGGGAGTCTGCCAAGGGCCTCCCCCAGCGCCACCACTGACCTTGCCCCAGCCTGGACGTCCATCTCTCAGCTGTGACCCATCTGCTCCCTCCCTGGGCCCCCCGACCTTCTCCCTCTCACACCACATCCTCAGGGGCCTGCGCCAGTTTCAGGCTTCTGCTGCCAGTGTCCCCAACCCTGGCAGTGAGAGGGGATTGGCCAGTGCCTAGGCTGGGACAGTGAGCACCAGACAGGTGCCCGCAGTAGTGGGGTGCCCGCAGTGCTACAAGTCAGGCTTCGGGGTTCCCTTGACTCCAGCTCCCTCTCCCCAGGGGACACAGGCCAGCAGCTTATCCCCCACGAGAGCCCCCGGTGGCCCGGCAGTTCTCCTGGGCTCGGCCTGGGGGTGGACGGGTGTTCCTCTACTCTTTTCCTTCCCAAAGTCAGCAGGAGGCTGAAGCTGCTGTGGGAAATGGTACTGTACAGCCGGCTCCGTCCCCTCTGCTCCCCCCAAGACCTGAGCCAGTGGGCTGTGCCCCCCAGGATCCCTGAGGGCACTGGGGGCAGGGAGGGGGCGTTCTGCCAGCCTCTCTTGACCTGGTGCTGAGTGCGAGTCCAAGAGCTGCCCCCAGTCCTGATGACCTCTGCAGAACCCGAGAGCCAGCGAGGGGTGGGCGTGGAGGGCTGGGTGTCCACCCCCTCTGTATATTTCTGCAAATAATCTGCACTGATTAAATACACAGCCGGCGAGTGTGGCCTTGTCTGTGAGAAGCCTTGGCCTAGAGGTGGCAGGGGGTCAAGTCCAAGGACGAGGGGGCGCGCCCCAGTGCTCAGGAGACCTGTCTGCAGTGCACTGCAGGCTCCTTCCCATTGACCTTTGGAAACAATGCCCGGGAGGACCAGTGTTTGGGGGCGGTGGGAGGTGGCTGCCCTCGTGGGCCATAGGAGGGAGTGGCAGGGCCCGGGGTCAGCCTGGGTGGGGCGGGGAGGGATGTGGGATTTCTTTGCTGGTCATTGGTGGAGAGGAAGGAGGCCAGCTTCCCACGTCCCTCCACATCTAGGCATGGACAGCGCCGGCCAGGCCGCCCGTCCTCCACCCAGCCACACTGGGTTCTGGGCAACCTGAGGCCTGTCGGAAACGGGGGCCCAGAGCTGGGCACAAAGAGAATTGGGAAATGGGTCCACTCGGGTTCCAGAACTTCCCCTCACCACACACTCTATCCAGACCTGCCACCTCGTCCTTGGAGAAGCAGCAAATCCCACCGCGGGCCTCTGCTTAGGCTGCAGACGGTGATGCAGGGAGCAGAGGCCGAGGCGCGGCCGGCCCTCCCTCGGCGGGGGTTCCTCTAACCAGAGGTCTGCCTCAGACCCCCCACCTCCATGCCCCCAGCTGGTCTATCGGGAGCTCGCTGGGGCCCCCAGGAGTGCAGTGATCAGCCCTAGAGGGCCCCCCTCAATCTTGGAACAGGCAGGGTCCCTCAACCTGTTCTGAGCCCAGTCCTCCCCCTTCCTCTATCTGCTGCCTCTGGAAGCCGAGGCTGAGGCTGGCAACCCATCTAGGAAGCGGCCTTGGAGCCCCCACCACAGGGCCTCTGTGACGCAGAGGGGCCAGGAGGCACCATCTCAGCTTCCCAGGTGCGGAAGCCACAGGTCCCCACCCTGGCCTGCCCCCTGCCCGCAGCCCTGGGTTACAGAGGTCACCAGGCAGGTGGAGGGCAGTGTAGGGCCAGGTACAGGAAGAGGATGAGACCTCTCCTACGCCCTTCCTCAGAGCCAAGGCCAAAGGAGAGACTTGGCAGAGCCTCTGCCGCTCAGGAGACTACCCCGGCAGCTGCCCCGGCTCTCAGCTGCAACCCAGAGCCTCTCAGTGGACGGAACCCCGGGCCGTCTAGGAGTGCTGTCATCCTCACTCAGGGTCTGAGGGGCTTCTAGGAGCAAGGGGTGATACCTAGAGTCCAGGTCTGCCTGGGGCCTTACCCTACCTCCTCCCAGAACTGAACAGTAATCTGCATCTTTAAATGTTTGGTTTTCAAAGCATGACTATAAGGCCCGGTGCAGGGTACACGCCTGTAATCCCAGCAGCTCAGGAGGCTGAGGCAGGAGGATGGCGAGTCCAAAGCCAGCCTCAGCAATGGCGAGGCACTAAGCAACTCAGTGAGACCCTGTCTCTCAATAAAATACAAAATAGGGCTGGGGATGGGACTCAGTGGTCGAGTGCCCGAGTTCAATCCCTGGTACCAAAAAAAAAATGACTCTAATTTAAACTCACCTTGGATCCCCCCCAGAGGTTCCATTTCCTCTTTATCTTTCTTCCTTTACATCTTGCTCACACCCAAGTTGAGAAAATTAAGATATTCAAGACAAACACAAAGAAAGGGCCGAGGTCTGGCTCAGTGGTACAGAGCTTGCCCTAAGGCCCTGGGTGCCATTCCCAGGGCCCAAATAAACAAAGAGGCACAGACCATCACCCTCCAGACAGCTGGGTGTTTCCCGCCAGCCCTTCCCTGTCGTGGCGCAGCTGGGAGCTGCAGAGTCCAAATGTCCAGGGCTGGAGCCCTGACCTGCAGTACAGAAGCCTCGGTGGAGGGGTGACACCATCTAGGTCCAGTGCCAGAGCAGGGCAGGATGCAGAGGCTGCAAGGTGCTGGTGACGGTGCTCACTGGGCATGTGCTGACTGGTCTTGACCCTAGCTGACCAGCATGCTCCCCACCCACATTTTACTCAAGAGGAAAGTAGGGCTCAGAGAGGGGAAGTGACTTGATCAAGGTCACACAGCCGGGCAATCACTATGCTGGGATCAGTCTCCAACAGACCAAGCCCACCCCCCCTCATGCTGCTGGGGAATTCGGGCAGAGACTGAGGAGACGCCGTTCCCCCAGCCCCGTTCTGTGGACCCAGGACCCCAGGTCTCCAACAGAGCCTCCTTTCATGCCAGGGCTGGGCCAAGATGGCCGCTTCCTCTCCTCCCATCTGGCAGAAAGCCTCTTTGTCGTGGTGCACACAGAGGGCTTTCTCTAACCCCACAGGAGTGGCCGGCTTCCCGTCCATCCCCAGCCACCCAAGCCACCGAGGGACCAGCAGCATAGGTTTGGGAGGAGCAGGGCTTCCTGCCCCTGTGTCCTGCCAGGCCCCATGTCTCCCACCCCCAATCCAAGAGACCACGCCAGGCAATGGGGTCAGCTGTCCCTGCAGCAACGCTGGGGATGCCAGGCCTCGGGGCACTTTCAGGGCACCACAGTCCACCCTCAGCCTGCTTCTCATGACCCACAAAACACTGGCAGAGGCCCCAGCCAGGCCTGCCCTGTCCCAGATGTCCCCGTCCCCACTTAGCATTTTGCCTTTGCTGATGCTGTTCCTGGAAAGCCCTTCCCTGCACACTTCATCCTGTGCAAATGGCATAGATCAGGGCCCAGATCACAGGTTGCCTTTCCTGCATTCCCACCCTCCCTCCTCGGGGTGGGTGAGTGGCTGGCCTTCCCCCTCGGCCTTTCCCAGCGTCTTGACTGCTCCTGAGCTCCACCTTCCCATTGTTACAGGCACCCAGACACTGACCATGGCTCTGTCATTCACTGGCTGTGTGTCTTTGGGCTAGTCACTTCCCCTCTCTGAGCCCAATGGCAATCTGTAGAATAGCCGTGCCTATTTCATACCATTGTGAAACTCGGTAGGAAACGGGGTTAACACTTAGAGACACGTGGAAGAGCATCTGGCTCTGAGAACTCTCAAGAGGGCGAGGTGAACATCCCTGTTGGAAGTACAGGTACCTGCCTGGCGGGCTATGTCACTTCCCTGCTTCTCGCCGGTGACTGTGGGATGAGGTCAAAGGTTGACACACTAGAGGACAGGTGCCTGGGAGGAGGGACATTCTTTTCCCACCCCTTCCCTCCCAGCTGCTGGGGCCCCACCCCGCCCCACCCCAGAGCCTCCCTCCTGGCAGCCAGCAGACTTCCCAGACCCGGGGCGGGTGCAGGCCCCCCAGGCTCAGGTTTCCCTCCAAGTGCCCCGACACCCCCTGCCCCGGGTTTCCCACCCACCTCAGTCCTTGCCAGAAATAGCCTCTGGTCTCCACTTGGCCCGCAGCCAAGCTAAGAGGCCCCTCCAGGACACACGGGCTCACTCCCCCCCCCCCAGCACAGCTCCCCAGGGAAAAACTAGAAACCAGTGAGAAAGGGAATTAAGAACAGAAGGAGGGCTGGGGATGTAGCTCCACTGGTAGAGGCTGCCTGGTGTGCTCAGCCCTGGGTTCAGGCCCCGCACCACCAAGAGAAAGAGAAATAGAAGGAGCCTGCGGAAGGGAGGGGCAGCTGGGCCCCAGTGATTTCACCCAGAGATCATCTGGGTGACCCAAAGCCTGCAGTCTCTGGCCAGATGAGCCTCCCCCACAGACGGGCTCCGAGGGGGCAGAGCCCTCATCTGGCCGATCAGAGGCTTCCTGGGACTGTGGGTGGTGGGGGGCCTGGGAAAATGGCACTGTCTGTCGGAGGTGAGCCTGGAGCCACCGATGGGTCATTTTGCCACCAGATAAAGAACCTTTCTCAGAGAGAGGCCAGCACCCGGGAAAGCAGGACCTTGAAAAGAGAGGTTCTGAAGGCGCTGGGACCTGGGACCACAGCTGTGCGCCTCTGCAGTCGGTCTAAGCTCCTCTGCGTGGGAAACCCGTGTGTGGGGGTCGTTGCTGGGTTTGTTCTTGTTTGGGTTTTTAGCTTAAGGCATTTTTCTTGGCCATCGGGGACTCCCCGGGGTCACAGAGCACATGTTCCTTCCACCTCAAATGTTGACTGAGAGTCAGGGCTCACTGTGGGGTCCCCTGCACAACCCCCCAGCCTTGATGACGTGGCCTGAGCCACCAGAGCCCTCGGGATCCAGGGGTCAGAGCGGGTGGGGAAGGGGGAGCATTGACGGTTGCAGAAAACCTGGATGCCAACCGTGGCGGACACGAGGGGACCCAAGGAACACCCCAAGGGAGCAGAGGTGGGGCGCACGCCTTGGTCCCCGTACTCCAGAGGCTTACGTTGGCTCGCAGTTTGGGAGGTCCCAGCTTATGATCGATTGGTGCCACCCCTCTGGGCCTGTGGTAAGGCCCATGGTAGCAGGATTAGTCCCCCATAGACCCCTCAATGGGCATGGAGCAGAACTGCTCTTTCCACGGCCAGGGAGTGACCACTAGAGACCACCGTCCTCTCCAAGAGCACAGCCCAGCGCTTCCCAGAAGTCCTTACCTGGCAGAGGCCCCCCACCACCCATTGGCACCACTCTGGGGACCAAGGCTTTGACACCCAGACCTGTGGGGACACTGATCCAACGCCAGCTTCTTTTGTTTATCCATTGAACATCTGTGGATGCCAGGGTGCCAGGCTAGGAGCCAGCCACGAATAGCACAGACGCCCTCTGTGGGTTCACCTGCTGGGGGGGGGGTGACCCTCGTACACAAGCAAGCCCAGGAGCCCAGGCTGGACCCGGCCTGACCGGGGATCTGATACTGTGATTTGAGAGACCTCTGTACGTTTTGCTAAGCAACCTTTGCAAACGTGCCCAGTTCTGTTTCCAACGGAAGTCCTAGAGATGCAATGGCAGCCACAGGGTCCTAAGGCCTCTGTGACATACGGGCAATTACCCTCCCAGGAGAACATGCCCCTGCTCCTCTGTCAAGTGGCTGAGTGCCTGTGCCCCTTCCACCACTGGGCAGGTGTGAGCATCTTCCCATGATTGGCAAGACTAATGATGGTTTTATTTGCTGGTCTTATTTGCAATTCT